TTATCTTAAGAACATTCTCAAGATTTGGATTTTTGTCTCTTTTTAAGAAACGAAGAGTCAAACTGAATCACAACCAAATGGAACAGAGGGGAACAGCTGTAGCACAGATGCTACAGACCTTTATGATATTAATCCCCGATATTCCTTTTTAGATGACTCTTCATTCTGGGCATTATCGTTTCCCCTTTATGCTGTTTGGCTCTCAGTTTATTGCTCTTCTGCCCCTTTGGGGTAGGGCGGGATATAAATCCAAAGATAAAATTAAAAAAATAGATAAATAAAAACTCCCTTATGCTTGAAATGCATCTGTCTTCCATTGTTCACTTCTTTCTTAACCTCTTCTGTCTTCTAAAACATTTCAATATGTAACATATTTAAAGTTACCAGTTGCAACCTAGAAAATACATCTGTTTCTGGTCTGCAGGATAAAAAGTCACAGTGACTTCTTCTTTAGTATGTTTAAAGGTAGCACATGTTTTCAGTTTTCTGGGTTGCAGTCTGGCAACGCTTAACTATATCTGTAGGTTCCTTCAACCCTCACAAATGGATGTGAGATTCCCAGAGAGTTCCATTCTATTAACCTTGTTTCATGACACTGTTCCTATCCACACAATCATATTTTGTATAGGAGAGCTTGGAGAAATGGGGGAAATTATGACTTTGGGGACTTCTCATACATTATTTTGTCATCATCTGCAGTACACAAGTCTGGTGCCAGGTCATCTAAAGCAATCCACCTATTGGCAACTATCCCTGGCAGAGATACCCAGAACAAAACCTGTCTGCCCTCCTCTGATGATTGTTGGAGTGGCTTTCACTGCACCAGGCACCAGACAAATCCTCTTATTCTCTCGAAAATGCAGAGAACTTTGCAGGTAGATGAGAAGAAGTCAGTTTCTCACTTTGTACTGGGCTTTCAATAATGTTTTAATGTTCTGATATTTACTGCCTTGGGGACCATATTTGGATAGAAAGGTGCCAAAGAAATGCTTTAAGGAAATAAAGGCCGCGGTCACACGGGCCAGATAATGCGGGGGGGGGGGAGGCATGGCTATTTGCGCTGTCGCAATTTGAGCAGCCGCTACACAATCAGACATGAAGGCAGTGAACTGGGGGTTTTTTTGTCGGCACGTGTTTCTGACACTCTTCACCGAGGCAAGAGGAGCGCACTGGAGCGATCAGACGGAGACAGTCCGTCTGTGGCAAACTGTTTGATAGTAGCCTTCCCCAGGTACTTTTTAACTTTGGACCTTCGGCAGTACGCTATGGGGTAGCAACGGGTGCACAACGCTTGCCAGATGTTTCCGTCTGCTCGCGCCCGTATAATCCACCTGGCATTCGTGGCTCTCCCGTGGCAATTTCTGTGTGTGAACGGGGCCAAAATAAAACAAAAGGAGAGACTGGGACTTTGACTGTTTTCTTTCTCTGAAACCTTCATCACCTGAGTTCTTTGCATGCTGATGGCAAGCATGAATAATGGCTGGTTAGTAAGCCAAGCCAAAATTGTACCCGTGTCCATGATCTCAATCCTGAGATCCCTTCCATTCTGCAATATGCTTCCATACCAGATATATGTTTGGTCCTTATGCTCCTGGCATGTATTGATAGACATTTTCTGTCACCTGAAAAAAATATCAAAGGGAATAAGAGCATAAACCCACCCTTCATGTTCAGATGCAGAATATCTAAGACAACCAGATGCTGGAGGACAAACCAGAGATATTCCTTTTATGTCCTCCTAGTGACTTCCCAGAAGGCATCTAAACTGGCAGCAAGTGGGAAGAGGACCTAAAGGGACATTGGTCTGATCTGGTACAGGAGTTATTACAACCTCCAATATACCTCCAGTGAAAACAATGTAGTTGCATGCCAGTGTCACATTTTTTACTTATGTGGGATTCTTTTTATGTGACTTCTCAACTGAAAGTTCCTGCGGCAAGTGACATTGGGGCTTCATTTTCATGCTTCGGAAGATACCACCAAACCTCGGGGCCTAGCAAAATGCCATGAATAAACAGGATGTTATCTGCTCAGGAAAGAAGCACATTTGCTCTGACAGGGTATTTATTCCTTTGCCTTTTTCCTTCAAAAATGCTTGATTTTTTTACCTTTTCTTATGTGATAGTTTGTATGCTTTTGGTTTTAAAAAATATAACTATGATAAATTCTTGTGTGTAAAATTCAGTTTGTACTTTTAACAAACTACAGGTGGTAGACAAACAATATTCCTGGGTCTGGGGAACAAAACATTTTAGCAGATTTGGGACTCAGAGCAAAAGTGGCAGAATTCTTATTGATACTGTGATTGCTGTCAATTAATATCAAGGGTAAAAATTGCAGTTGCCTCAGATATAATACGGACAAAGCCAAGTGATTCTCAACCAACAGCTGAGAGCAAAGTCTCTCACAGCCAAAGTATGCTTCCATCACTCATGAGAGACTTCTAAAACAGCACGAGAGGTTTCACTAGGGGTGTCACTTCTGAAAAAAATTAGTTTTAGCTATGATCTTGCTTTTGTTATTCAGCTATTTTGTTCTAGGTAATGCACTCCAGTTATCATATTACATCTCCATGAATTCATAATTGCAACATGACTTTTAAAAGATGAAGCAGATAGACAGTTGGGCAATACTAATGGATTCTGGAGGCCTTACTTTAAATCTGCTCTCTCTTGGTCTCAAATTCCTTTTTGTGAAATAGAAACAACATCTATCTCTCCAGGGCATTTTAGGAGCTCAAAGAAGCATAAGTGATTCTGCCATCTCTGTTCTATCCTCACAAAACCTGAGAATGTGCAGACTTTGTGGCAGAACAGAGATTTGCATTTAGGACTCCCAGACCCAGATTGTACCCACTGTTGTGGTGTGACACACGGCTGATGTCAAAGAAAAACAAGATGAAACTGTAAAACACTTTGTCACAGTGATTATGTTTAGTAAGGTAAAGGTAAAGGTAAAGGTAAAGGTTCCCTTGCTCGAAAGCCAGTTGAATGCGACTCTAGGGTTGCGGTGCTCATCTCCGTTTCAAAGCCGAAGAGCCAGCGCTGTCTGAAGACCTTTCCGTGGTCATGAACTGACTGAACAGCAAGGCGCACAGAACGCTGTTACCTTCCCACCAAAGTGGTACCTATTTATCTACTTGCAATTTCTTGCTTTCGAACTGCTAGGTTGGCAGGAGCTGGAACTAGAGACGGGAGCTCACCCTGTCTTGCGGCACACTCAGGTGTGACTATCCTCACAAAACCTGTGACTCCCCACAGTTGCAGACTGTTTAATGGTCTTTGTATTTTTCCTGATTAGATTTGACTTTTACATAAATACACATCTCTCCTATTATATAAAAGCATTTTGGGGCAGCCCCTGGCCTATGGGGTGGCGAGAGAAAATGCGCTCCCTGAGCCATTGGCCTGCCAGGTGCCGCTCAAGGCTCCTGGTGTGCCATTGGCTGGGGGGCCAGCCTCCCCACCTTGGCCCGTGCGAGCCTGGGACGGGCGGTGAGTGGGTGGTGGGGAGATGGGTGAGGCCGGCCGCCTTGCAAAGACAACTCTTCGCTCTGCCACCTTTCGCCCGCTGTGGCCTCGGCCGGGGAGGCTGCGGGCCCTTCCATGGGGGGGGGCTCTTCTCCGCTGGCCCCGCCAGGCCATCAGGGTGCTTGGAGGCCTCCAGGGGGACTGGTTGCTGTTGGCCCTTTCCACCATCGGCGAGCTGGGCGCCAGCAGCCCCAACCTCGCGTGGCCCCCGCCCTCGCTTCTGACGCCGCATGGGTGCCTCCTAGAGGGCCAGGCGGCATGTGGCCTCTACGCTGGCAGTGAGCTGACCGCTGCTGGCCCGTCCACACCCGTCCCCCGCCCCCATCCTCACTTCTGAGGCCACACCAGCGCCTCCCAGAGAGCAAGGCACCGTGCGGCCTCTCCGCCCACAGAGCACTGACTGCCACTGCACCTTCTTCTCCCGACCCCCACCCCCCGCTACCTTTCCCTCCTTGGCCACCGCAGTGGGAGGGGGGGCACTGCTCAGGTCCCAGCGGCACCTTTCCCCGCTCCACCACAGTGACTGTGGTCAGAAAGCGACGTGCCCACTCCAGCCCACGCGCCTCCCCGGTAAGACCTGGCCAGCCCCCCCTTTCCTCGCCCTCCCTACCTCTGTCTCTTCCCACCATCTCTTGCTCATTTCTCAGCCTCTTTCCCTTCCTTCCTTTCCCTTCTATTCCTCCCTCCCCCTTTTCTCTTCCTTCCTTCCTCCCGCCCTCCCTATCCCTTTCCATTCTTTGCCTCCCTCTTTCTATCTTCCTTTCTCTCTCTCTCTCTCTACTCCCTTCCCCTCTACAACGGACCTTCCTCCTAGTCAATGTATAATTCATGCTTTTTATGGCCCCTTGATCCTGTTGTTTGATTTTTTCAACATTCCTACAGAAAATATTTGTCTAGTGAGGATCCATTCATAGTTTCTGAAGAAGTCCAAAAAGTTTATGCTTTCAACTTTAAGGTGTCACAAGACTCCTGCTTATTTCCCCTTTCCCCTTTCTTTTTTCTTCAGCAGATGCTCAGCTACCCTCAACTTTCCATGTCTTAAGCAATGAGCATGCTCAATCTTCATCAGGCTTTTTTAAAAAAGGATTTATTCTATTAATGTGCTGTCATATTTTTGATGCATACCTGGTTAGTTTCTTTAGGATACAGAAATTTCAATCTTGTCTGTTTCTATTGAATATTTTTTTCAAATACTGTCCTTCCTTCAAAGAGATCAGGGTGGCATACATGGTTTGCTCCACCTCCATTCTGTCCTTACTGTGAGGTAAGTTAGACAGAGAGTGATTGGCCCACAGCAAGTGAGCTTCATGGTTAAGTGGAGACTTGCTCCTGGATCTGCCACTCCAAACCACTGTGCCATGTTAGTTCTGTGGGCAGAGCCCTTTTCTTGCCAATAAACACTTGGAACAAACCGCACTATCAGAGGGTATGTTTTAGGAGTAGAATAAGTAATTTGTTATCTTCACTTACGCATTGAATTGCTCAGCAAATATCAAGTTGGTCGAAGTCCCAGTGATGGTAGTCAGCCCTCCAATAGTAGACGCATATGCAATACACAGGCACATGACTTTACACATCATGTGGTCCCTCTGGTTTCGGTATTTTCTACCTGTTTCACTTGCTGCTGGATTCTGCTTAAAAATGAAATAACCAACATTACTAATTTAGTGGCACAAGCAGAATATTTGCATTGGCTCATTATGTGACAATCTGAATTCACTGTGGGGAAATCAGAGAACTGCTTCAGCCCCAAGGGCTTCGTCTTCCTACTATCTCTGCCTGTGGCAACTCTAACCGCACTTGTTCATGGTAATAATCATGAACATCTACCAGCATGGATGGAAGCTGGCTTTGACCTAGCACCACAAGCCATTCTTAAATGGAGCAAATGGCAGGATGGTAAATGTCACCTCTGGGACAAATCCTGCACAGACCAGTAGCTTGTAAAAACACTCTTGTTCTCGGCCAATGTCATGAAAAGTTAGCAAGGGGTGCCCCCCCCCCCCCCCAGTGAGAACATTTCAGGACTCATCCAAATTTTGAAATAATAAATTATTGTGGGAAGTGACCCAAACTCAGAGGCTAGGGGGAATCTTCTTTATAATCCTTGGTACAAGAGGCGTTTTAATAATGAGTTTTGACAATCATTAGTTCTGTCTCAAATGCTCCATCACACAGCTCCCTTCCATGTGCTTAAATACAATCAGTTAATTCCAAAGAATGAGTAGGGTTAAATGCATAACTTATCAATAGATGATTCTTGGGGTAAATTTATTATATTAACCCCCTCATATCCATAGATATCATAATAAAGATCACAATATATAATCTCAGGGTAATTCTTTTGTCATTTAAAAAAATACATGAATACAAATTCAGAAAGAGGATGGGGTAGAATGGGTTGTGGCCTTCACATGAAACAAAAGGGACGCTTCCAAACATCTGAATATAGGTAGGTACTCATATGGAGGTTTCTGATAGGTAAATAGGAATAAAGAAGAGAAGAGATTGGATTTATACTCCGCCCTTCACTACCCAAAGGAGTCTCAGAGTGGCTTACAAACTCCTTTCCCTTCCCCTCCCCACAACAGACACCCTGTGAGGTAGGTGGGGCTGAGAGAGCTCTGACAGAACTGTCCTTGAGAGAACAGCTCTGACAGAACTATGGCTTGCCCAAGGTCACCCAGCAGCTGCAAGTGGAGGAGTGGGGACTCAAACCTGGTTCTCCCAGATTAAAGTCCGCGCACTTAACCCACTACACCAAACTACACCAAAGAGTTTCTGAAAGATGAATAGGGAGATTAAAGAGATGTGCATGCAGAGAGTGATGCAGATTTGGCTGGAAAACAATGGGGGATTTGCTTTGGCTGTATTATGGTTTCTCAACATACATATGGCTGTTTATTTAAAAGTATATGACACACTCTGAACCCAAATAAGTGGTGAACAGTCTGCTCTCAGTTCGGTATGCGACTTGACCACATCAGCTTGCAGGAAGACAAGAAAATGAGGCGTTGCCATTTTAAGACCTCCCTCCCATATTCTCAGACTAACTACAGATGTCCTATGTTGATTGAAGTGATGAACAACATAAAATATATACAGATTTCTGAGAATGTTTTAAGGACTACATCTGATTTTTGTGTTTCTCCTTCCTTTGCACATCTAAAACTATGGCACTTGATAGGGGAAGGCCTTTAAACCATGATGCACCTGACAGGACTGCAGTTATGGAAGAATGGCAGGGAGCCAAGGGTTAATAAAACTGTACCAGGTCTCTAGATAAGAATTCATGAGTCATTATTACAAAGCAAAGTCAGGGCTAGATTTGGCACTACAATCTCTGTTAAATGGTGTGCCAGCATGTATGCTGTCAGACTAGAGACAGGATGAAACTGGAGGTCAAAGTGTGAGACAAGGATGCAGACTCACGTACTGAGAAAAAAAGGATCCTCCAACTAGAAAACTGGGGATAAGAGGCAGGGCTCAAAGGGGACACTTGAAACATTCACACACAACACTAACCCAATATTCTCAATATCCATCCATTTTATAAAGTCCTTGTGTTGTTTGGGGAGCAACATGAGGACTTTGTATCATACATGAGGTAGGAGATTTGTGGAATCAAAGTAGGCAGGGCAAAGCAGCTTTAGCTTCTCCTGCCTTCTGTTGTGTCTGTAAGCCACCTTGTGAAGCTGCTATTGGTTCCATTGTAAAAAAAAAATCATATTACTTGTGTGGCTGCACATAAACTTCACAACAGAGCTAAGAACAGCTCCATGGGGTACTTTGCAGATGTGAAAACAGCATGGGGGAGAGGCAGGCCCATAGCTACAGTGGGACCTCCCCCCCCCGACTTACTGCCAAGGCCCCCCAACTTTCCATTCATCCGAGGCCCCCCAACTTCCAATTTTTTATTTTATTTATTGCACTAATTGCTGGCAAGCCCCATGCTGCCCTCCAATCCCATGCCGCTCTCTTGCTGGCTGCAGCCGCTCTCTCGCGTCACTGGCAAGTTGGCAAGAAGTCAAGCCCCGCGCCGCCCTCCAGTCTCACACCACTGTCTTGCCTCCCTGCTTATCGGCAGCAGGAGCAGCAGCCAAAAGGCGAGTGGGTGCCGGTGGAGGGGATGTGCACACACCTGCTCTGGCTCTCCCTGCTCACCATTTAGCTGTGGCTGGAAGAGGAGGAGCAGCCTCTGGGGTGGGAATGGGGACAAGAACTGTGGTGGCAGTAGGTGGGCAATGAAGGCAGCCTCCTTGGGTGGGCCCGCCACTCTCCTGCCCTGACAGCCTTGGCTTTCCTGCCAAAAGGATGCCTGGCTCGTTGCAGGGAAGGGCGGGAGTGTGGCTGCTCACTTGTGGTGTGTGTGCAGAGTGTCCCCTGACTTATTTAAAGCCCCCCCCAATAAAAAAAATCCTGGCTATGGGCTTGCAAAGCTGCTTCTCTCTGCCTGTTTTGGCTGCAAACAGAAAACTATGTACATCTGGTGAGCTATGCGTGTGCAAAGTCCTGATGTTGTCCCCCAACAAACCCAAAGACTTTGTAATGTGGAGCCTAAAGTACAAATGATACTGAGTACAGGTATACAGTGCTGTGAGTTCCTCCAATCAGACTTCGTGCCAAACGTATAGTGTATTTTGGCCCAAAGTTCCCCCTTCTGAGTAAATGAGTGCAAAAAGACAGTAGTGTGACACTAAGGGCGATTTCGCACTAGAGCTGCCTCGCGGCGCTGCCGCCGTTTGCCCCGACACTATTTGTCAATTTCACACCTGAGGCTGCGGGGCTGCATTTGACCCGTGGCTTCGCCCGATTTCCTCCGCAGTTTCGTGATCCTCAAAAACCAGGATCACGAAACTGCGGAGGAAATTGGGCGAAGCCGCGAGTCAAAATGCAGCCCCGCAGCTTCCGATCTGAAATTGACATGTTTGTGCCGGGGCAAACGGCGGCTGCGCCACGAGGCAGCTCTAGTGCAAAATCGCCCTAAGTTGCAGCAGAGTGATGGTATTTGCATGTTATAAACCTGCCTGAAAGAGACTTGAATGTATACTGTTTGAAGCCTAACATCCTACAACTCCTGGTTGGTTAATATTTACTTTCTTTCTAAATAAATAAATGTTCTTGTTCAGTTTTTAAACCACCTTGTTTATGTCAATTTATCTCTTTGTCCCTCAGTTATCAACCCAGGCTTTGGTGGATTTATACCCAGACCCAGATTCTATCCCCTTGAAACTTTTAAATTCCCACTGAGAATTCCCAATTCAGTGTGGTAGGCAGGAAATTATGACTGCGAAAATCTTCTTGGATGCATCTGCCCCCGAGAAAACTGTCAAAGTGACTTTTTTAGTTTCCTAAGGACTTGATCTGATGATTGCATTTAATGCTTCTCTAGTGTTCCAGCTTATTTTATTTCATTTTAGCATGATTTTCTTTGGTATTTTTAATGCTTCATTGTTTAGTATGCTGTCTTGAATGTTTTTTTTAAAATGTGGAATACAAATGTCTTGAACAAAGAACCAACAAGAAATAATAATTCCCATTAAGCTCCAAGGAAAACGAAATATTCAAAGGTTCTCACATGTCTTCTATGAGACTACATGGGTCAAACTAGATGTTACATCCATGGGTCCAACCTGTGGACACCAATGCCATTTTAGAAGTGAAGTTGGGCCATTTAATTGGTCCCACAATGCAGAAGGAGCAGGTAATTTTGACCCCACCCCACTGGCACTTTTTCAAGAGCTGAAGTTTCCCTGCGGCTGTTTCAGTATTTGAAAAGTGAGCAGGGGGCAAGATCTCCTGGGCCTACTGCACTGCACTGGCTGTGGGCCTGATTAAAGCCCTGGGTGGGTCCTTAGGTTTGACACCCCTGCATTAAGCCTTAGAAGCAATGTAAAAACATCAAATATAAGATTAATAGTATTAAAACCAATTTTAAACCAATTTAAAATGGCTCAAGTTCACCTCTAAAAGGATGGTGGCATCCATGGATTGAATCCATGGATGCCCTGATGTCTAGTTTCACTCTATGATGCTCTCCCATAAGGGATAATTGTTTAACTTGTGTCAACTTTACATAGATGCAGGAGATGAAAAAGGATAACAACAGAATGTCAGGAATCTCAGAGAGAAACAAAGAAAGTACCACAAGTAAAAGTGAGTGAAAATATCAAGGCATAACAATCATTTTATGTCTATTAGTTTAGTTCAAGTTGACACATTCTGTAACACGCAGTATAGTGATGGTGGTAGAAGGCTATCAATAGTTGTTTAGTGCCTCCAGGACTAAGCTATATAGCTGATCCGGACCATATATCTTATGGCAAAAGTTCTGTCAAGGTGGCTTTCCTTTCATGGTAAGGAAACAACCTACATACAAACAAAGGATATCCATATAAAAGTGAAATAAAACATATTAATGTACTGGGTTAATATCTGAGTGTATTGAATGAGAGTAAGAAGTGTTTCAAAAATGATGTTAAAATACCTTTTTTTTTTCAATCTGGCACACCCCATGAGCAGTATTAGCAGTGCCATTGCAGTATCTGTAAAAACAAACTTGCTGTAATAAAATCCTTTCTTTTGCTTGAAGAAACTGGTGTAATAGAAATGGCAAATTACATATATTTTACCCATTTGCTTGCTTTGTCTTTTCTTTCCAGTCATCTGCTTCACAATCATTAATATTTTCTGGGGGGGGAAATAGCAACCATTTCTCAATGAGTAGCTCCAATTTAGTCAGTTTGTCCCTGCCAAACTGAAGATAAGAATGTAAAAGAAACAAAATAAATATTGATGCATACCATCAAGTTCCAGGGCATGATTGGTGACTCCATTTGCATAAGTCATTTCTATGGCATCAACTTCGGCTTCAGCGCTGATTATCTGCTGAGCCACTGCCTCGACGATGGGCATCACCATAGCAGCGCTAGAGGTGTTGCTAAGCCACATTGACAAGAAGGCACTGCTGATCATGAAACCAAGGGTAAGCCTGAAATCAGAAATACCTCCATGTCACTAGTCATCTCTGCTTAAGTACTTTATTAAGTAATAATACACAATAAAAATTTATATTTTTGCAGCATTGAGCAAAGTTTGCAGCCATTCTCCAGCCTAAGGATCTTTCCTCCAAATTAAGTGGCTGCTCTCAATGCGAGAGCCACTTAAGTTGGAGGAAGGTTACCTTGGAAGATGGTTGGATCCACCCCATCCACTGGAACTATGTTGTCTTTTAAAATATTATTTTTGCTGTGTGTAAAATGTGTCACATTAAAACATAGGAAGTCATAGACTCTATCATAACATGTACATTTAGAGCCAGTGGGGTGTAGTGGTTAGCATGTCAAACAAGTTTCTGGGAGACACAGGTTTGAATTCCTACTCTGCTGTGAACATAAGAACATAAGAGACGCCAATGTTGGATCAGGCCAACGGCCCATCCAGTCCAACACTCTGTATCACACAGTGGCCAAAAATACCAAGTGCCATCAGGAGGTCCACCAGTGGGGCCAGGACATTAGAAGCCCTCCCACTGTTGACCCCCCCCCAAGCACCAAGAAGACAGAGCATCCCTTGCCCCGGAGCCCCTATCTATACCTTGTGGCTAGTAGCCACCGATGGACCTCTGCTCCATATGCTTATCTAAGGTAGCTGGCTGGATGACCTTGGGTCAGTGACACACTCTCAGCCTAACCTACCTCACAGGGTGCTTGTAAGGATAAAATGGAGGTGAGGAGAGCCACATAAGCCACTTTGGTTTCCCCTTGGGGACAAAGGCAAGGTATAAACAATAGAGTTGTGAGGATAAAATGGAAGACAAGAGTAGGATGTAAGCTGCTTTGGGTCCCCATTAAGGAGAGAGGTGGGATATAAATGAAGTAAATGACTAAAATTGCTGGTGGCATGTTAGCTTTATGCAGACGTATAGCTTCCTGGGATAGCCCAGGCAAGCCTGTTCTCATCAGTCTTGGAAGCTAAGCAGGGTCGGACCTACCTAGTATTTGGATGGGAGACCTCCAAAGAATACTAGGGACCTGATGCGGAGGCAGGCAATGGCAAACCACCTCTGAACGTCTCTTGCCTTGAACACCCCACAGGGCCATCGTAAGTCAGCTGTGACTTGACTGCACTTTCCAAGACCACGCCAGTTTCATGCAAATTAGGAATGCTCAGTAACATGCAGCAAAGAACACAGAATACTTCTGTGTGGAAATATGCTGAATCGGCCTGCATATGTAGGACTGTAATTTCTTTTCCACCGTCTTTCCATTTGGGTAACCTTGAACACTCCACTGAAATTATTCTCATATGATCACAATGTCAGAAACAGTGAAAAGTGCTTTTATGGCCTGATCAAACATCAGCTTGTGAATCCCCACTTTGCCTACATAATAAATGTCTACAATACAAAAAGTGTACCCTTTCCCCCCCTTAATTTCAGACCAAATGATCCTAGCAGGGATAATTTTTACAAAGATTGCGAAGACCTTTGGAACCCATGAGGATAAAAACCTGTATAAGTGTTAATGATTGCTCAAGTCAGAAAGAGCAGCCTTTTTCAAAGAGGTAAAGAAAATGATCTGAAATTATTTTGGTAGCCCTTTCCCCAGATTGGCTAATGATATCTAAACTATCCAGAAATTAATATGCTTGCTTGTGCTTTCCACAAGAGCACAAAAGATGATTAGGTTAAGCTCTCATTCTAGATATTATCTTTCTCACTTTTTTGTCTACCTGTTATTAAGCAGATTACAGTAATTACTGCAAAAAAGCACTAGAAGAGGCCATTTGAACCAGTTTACTTATCTTGATGGTCAAATTAAAGACAGCATATCAGTCTGCATTTGATGGGGACAACTCCTGTTGGGATGCATACTCTGGTTTGGAGCAGAGATCCTACAGGAGCGCTTATTTACAAGTATATATATTCAATAATTCATTATTTCATGCTTTTCTCTCCAATGGGAACCCAAAGTGGCTTACAGCCTCATCCTCTAGTCTTCCATTTTATCCTGACCACAAGAACCCCATGAAGTACATTAAGCTGAAAGAGAATGACTGGCCTCAGGTCATCAGGCAAGCTTCCATAGCAGAGTGAGAATTCGAATCTGGGTTTCCTAGCTCCTAGTCTCCTACTCTAACAACTACACATATTTTCACTTAATTGAACAAGTACACTCAGTACATCAGCAAAATAGGCATAAAAATCAAATGGTTTCTGGGAGCGGATACATTTCAAACCCAGGAGCAAACTAGGAGAGCCTTCTAAAACAGGACAACTTTGCATAACATCTGGAAGGTTAGTAAGGATGGCATTGTATGGACCATTCCATCAATAAGACCACAGAAGCTGACCGGACCTGAAAACAAACAACCAAACTTGACAAAACAAGGCCGCAAGGAAAAAGTGTCGGGACGACCTAAGGTAAACATCAGTACAAGGCAGAGACTGTTCTTCAGGTAAGAGGAGACATCACAGGAATTGTCCTTTGTGTATAAGCCTCATGCAGATGTAGGAAAATCAAGGTTGAGCAGATATCATGCCAGACAGCATGCACAATCTTTTGCCTCTTCCATCCCTTGATCCAAGTTTACAAATCTAGCCATTGCTACATTTTGCAATGCCTATGTACAGGGTAAAGGCAGGTTTGCAAATTCCAGAAGAATGTTCACCTGGACTGTCTTTTAAAAAAACTAGGGACAATGTAGGTATCTGTAGGGTTGCCAACCTCCAGGTGGGGCCTGGAGATATCCTGGAATTTCAGCTGATCTCCAGACTACAGAGATCAGTTTCCCAGAAGAAAATGGCAGCTTTGGAGGGTAAGCTCTATGGCATTATTTCCTGATGAGTTCCCTCCCCTTTTAAAATCCCACCCTTCCCAGGCTCCCCCCTCAAATCTCCAGGAATTTCCCAGCCAAGAGTTGGCAACCTTGGCAACCCATCTTAGCAGGCTGTGGGTTAGATGCTACCAGCCTGTTCACTGCTGAAAGAGGGAGGAGGGGCTTGTTTTGAACACTGAAAAAGCAAGACCAGGGATTTTGAGACCTGTGTGAACAAAAGCCATATGCAGTAGGAATTGGGCTGGATCAAGCAGGAAAGTCCTGCATTTAGGGCTGGGCCAGATACCATTAGAGGGCAGGGGATTAGGGAGTAGTCAGTCTTTTTTTTAAAAAAACACCCAAAAACAAAAAGTAGGGAAACTATTTGAAGAGAACCTGTAATCTCTTTCAATGAAAGAAAAAGAAAGTGAAGGGGCAGATTTAAAACAACATCCTATTGATGTACGGTTGCCAGGTCCCTCCTGGCAACCAGCAGGAGTGGGGGGGCTTCCCAGGAGCAGCTGAGAGGCCCATCTGATGTGCAGCCATGTGTCTACATCACTAACCACATGATCCGGAAGTGATGCCATCGCTTCTGGGATGTCGGAGGTGATGCTTTGGTATTTGGGCAAAACCTCTTATGGTAAATTGTAAACAGATCAGCCAATATCATAATGCCGCTATATAAATCAATGGTGCGACCTCATCTGGAATACTGTGTGCAATTCTGGTCACCACACCTTAAAAAGGATATTATAGCTTTGGAAAAAGTGCAGAAAAGAGCAACTCGAATGATCAAAGGGTTGGAACACTTTCTCTATGAGGAAAGGTTAAGGTGCTTAGGGCTCTTTAGCTTGGAGAAACGACGACTGAGGGGTGACATGATTGAGGTTTATAAGATTATGCATGGGAAAGAGCAGGTAGAGAAAGAGGTACTTTTCTCCCTTTCTCACAATACAAGAACTCGTGGGCACTCCATGAAATGGCTGAGCGGTCGGGTTAGAATGGATAAAAGGAAGTACTTCTTCACCCAAAGAGTGATTAACACTTGGAATTCACTGCCACAGGAAGTGGTGGCAGCTACAAGCATGGACGGCGTCAAAAGGGAATTAGATAAGCATATGGAGCAGAGGTCCATCAGTGGCTATTAGCCACAAGGTATAGATAGGGACTCTGGGGCAAGTGATGCTCTGTCATCTTGGTGCTTGGGGGGGTCAACAGTGGGATGGCTTCTAATGTCCTGGCCCCACTGGTGGACCTCCTGATGGCACTGGTATTTCTGGCCACTGTGGGATACAGAGTGTTGGACTGGATGGGCCTTTGGCCTGATCCAACATTGGCATCTCTTATGTTCTTATGTTCTTAAATTTGGCTAGTGATGATGTCACTTCCAGGTCATGTGAGCAGTGATGTAGACACCTCTGGCCCGTAGCTATGGTGGGGCATTTGGGAGCTCCTCCCCCTTAATTACAGCCCCCGCCCCACAAGTTTTCATCAAGGAGAACCTTTTAAAAACTTTTTAAAAGTTTTCTTAAACTCAGGTGTGCCTGTGCTGAAGCATGCCAAACCAAGGTCCCAGACCATGACTAGCCAGCCGGCAGTCCTCCCTCCTCCTGCGACTCACCAGTCACTGCAGCTGCACCCTGCCCAGCCTTTTAAAAGGGTTTTCTTAAATCTGGACGCACCTGTGCAGAGCCGAGCCCAGGCCCTGACTAGCCAGCTGGCAGTCTTCCCACCTCCTGTGACTCGCAAGTAGTACTATTTTTTTTCAACCATGTGCACTTGTAGTGCCCTCAGCAGGGACAGGGGCCTGGGCTGGGCTGGGAAGGGGCAGCTACTCCTGCAGACCCCTCCTTGCCCCATAGCCCGCCTGCTTGCTGAACAAACATATTTGCCCTCTGGCTGCCTTGCCGCACTCCAGGGAAGAGAAGCTGGTGTGGATGTTGTCTGTTCCCTGTGGGGCAGCCGAGGGTGGGGGAAAGTGGTGGGGCACCTCACCCTGGTTGTGCAGAGCTGTGTACCTCCTCCGCACCCTGAGAAGCATTTAAAAATACCCAGCACCCTGACCCTCCTTCCCTTGCAGGGCAGAGGTGGCTCCTCCAATGGAGGTACGACTCCTTCCTCCCCCCACTTTTCTCCCGCGGCAGCGTCAGGAGGGTTTGTGTGGGGGAG